TCGAACTTGACCTGCGTATTATGAATATTCATCAGTTCTGCAAGTTTCAAGTCAAAAGGTAAAATGGTTTTCCACTTATCGTGTTATCGGTAAAAGTGCACGGCGACGGCGACGACGGCGACGACAGATGCAGATGATGGCTATATGTACAGACACATCTGTGTCTGTACATAAAAAAACAGGGACCAACTTTGAATGTAGAAATGGATTCATTAACCATTGGTACGTATGGGTAAATTGTGTTTACCCTAGGAAAATTCATTTTTTGGTCAAATTAAACAGTTGTTATTCATTTAAGCGAGCATGCGCTGGTGTGTGTGTGTGTGTGTGTGTGTGTGTGTGTGTGTGTGTGAGAGAGAGAGAAAGAGAGAGAGAGAGAAAAAGATTACCTGGATCTTTTTCCCCTGTTGCCATTTCATCATCGCTCCGACTTTCGTCAGTTTGTTCCTCTGACCCTGCACATGCATCCTCATCAGACTCGGAGCTGGACAGATCTTCCTTGACCTCTGATATTGAAGAAAATATTGTTCATGTGTCTGGACATTTATAGTACAGGTAAAAATAATTAGACAATGATCTGAAATGGTGATAAATAATCTGATATACTGTTTTGCAATTTTGATATACTTGTATGTATTATCATTCATAAATTTTCATATGTTTTTTATTTGTAATATTCAACTGTAGCCTATATAGGGATGGTGTACACTACTGATGCAAAATGTCAACCTTTTGATTGCAATTTTCAAATAAATTGTGATTATTAAAGGAATAGACATTATCAAAATAAAACTGACTTTCAATAATCAACAAACAGCCGTAGCTAGGGGAGAACTGGGCTAGTTGGACCCCGGGGTAAGTTGGCCCCACATCAATTTATGACAAAGTAACTATGGGTTAAAATAATTGATCACATCATTTTGTATCCAATAGTGCTAAGAAAGCGTCGGCAGTGAGTCCAAATGAAATAATTTAGCATCTTAAAGTAACTCTATTAAAGAGACTTGATAGGGAGGCCAACTAGCCCCGGTCTCCCCTATATATGGACCTTACTGTTGTACAACAATTTTTACTGATATTACATACATGTATACGTGGGCGTCAGCAGAAAATTTTCCAGGGGGGGGGGGGTCAAACTCACTGAAGCGGGAGATAATGATTGCCTAGGTACGCGCAATAAAAATGCAGTACCAAAATTCCGGGGGGGGACACAGCCACCAGTCTTATGCTTGACAAGCTATAAAAATGCAATCAACAAGAATTTTCAAAATACGCAAAAAATATATATAACTTAAAATGGTACAATCAAAANATTGAAGAAAATATTGTTCATGTGCTAACGCTGGTGGTACAATAATCAGAAAAAATGTAATACATATAACACAAGTGAAAAAAAGGTAAATCTCACCGTTTTTGCCATTGGCTTTGCCACTTTTTATTTCTTGTATCCTCTTTTCCGCCTTATCCAGCTGTCTATTTAATTTCTCGAGTCCAACCTTTTTGAAAACCTTCCTGAGTTTGTAGTATTTTCCTTCAGATATTATCATTCGATTGTTAAGTTCATTGAGAAGATCTAATGTGTCCATATTCTCTATTCTCCCGGCTCCAATTTTTCTGGTAAAGCAATGCTTTATTAGCTTTAACTGATCTTCAGTTATTTCATTCTTAAGCCGTATCGTTAATAAACTGTGGATTCCCGCGGCAGATGCCATCTCGTGTTGTCCACATCAAAGGTGGCACTGATTAATGTAAAAGAAAATGTCTGTTAGAACTGACCATACCCAATACCAGATCCAGGTCTCTTCTTAGGAATATATCCAGGTCACATTTAGCAGGTGCCCTGCCTTTCCCTGCAGGCACCCCTTGCTTCTAAATCATGCACATTTGCAACATTGTATTGTATTTGTCTGCCTAAGTTTTTTATTGTATTTATTTTAATAAATTAATTAATAATTTAATTTTTTTTTTTACTTTTGATAAGTGAAGTGAGACAAATTGTTATCCATGTGACCCACCCTCCTGAGACAAATTCTAGAACGGCCAGTACATATCAGTAACAGCGTTAGTTTTAAATACAGGTTTACTGTCTCTGACACAGTAAGTTATTTTACTAACATTTTAACTAGAAAAACATCACGGGGTGTTCAGTTCACAAAAATAGACTAGTAAATTAATTTTAATCTAGCCGCTTGCATGTGCACTCGACTTATTTTATGGCTAACATGTATTTATATAACGCAAGTGTTCTCGTGCAATTTGAGTAATTAATAACAATTTGTAGACCAATGCACCGCGCAACAGAATAGCATTGGATCCACCTAAGATGAAAAAATTCGGATATAAGCCTTCGGAATTAACATCGAGGGGATCAGATTTAGGGAGACCACTTGGGAAAGCTAAGACGACGGACGCAAATTATGACAATTATGGGAGAGGGTTCCAAAGTTGAATACTTCACCCAGAACGATGTAGTTAGCCAGTACCCTTTTCATTACATACATGTATTTGGCGGGGTGGGTTGGGTACGTGTGTGCTTCTTGTACCCTCTACCAGGTCCGCATATTAATTATGTGCATTTTCTCCAGCACGACAGCGAACTGCCCTGAGTGTCAGAGTCACTGTGAAGCGGTTTTGCTGATATGGGTTATATATGAAATCAAAATCGAGCTGGCAAAACTGGAATCTAGAACCTAGGGTAGGCCTACAGCGAACCATTTCATGAATTATATATTATTAGCCAGAGACATATCCAGGCATATCCAGTGAAAAATCCATTCATGACCCTAGTAGTATAGGGGTCACAGGGGCGGATCCAGGATTATTTGAAGGGGGGGGGGAGGGGTCCGCGGGGTCCGTGGGGTTCGGGCCCACCTAAGGGTCCAGAAAAAAAAAGGTATTATAGAGGGCGAATGGTGCAATTTGGAACAGTTTAGAACTATGATTCAGCATTGGTGTGATTATTTTTCAGAAATCAAAGGAGGGGGGTCAGGACCCCACTGACCCCCCCCCCCCCCTAAAATCCGCCACTGGGTCTCTGGAGGGTACTGTGTTTGTTTTGTAGTGATCCGGCATCGGTGTGTGGCTTGTCTTGGCCTCGATCCGAGTCGAGGCTGAGTGTCAGTTTGGGAGAAACTCGATAGCTGTAAGGAGTGGGTTACAGCGAGGAGCACTGAGAACAAAGGGCGACGCCATTACTGTGAAGCAAGATAGAGATAGAGGTTGGAATCCTGATTTCTAGTGGTTATCTATAGGAAAGGGATTTCGTTACTGCTAAGGTAAGCAGATTATTGGTAGTGTAGTGCCGAGGGGTCATTGCATGACCCGGAAGCGTGTCACGGCGCATGCGTATTAGTTAGTTAGAAGTTGAGAGCGTTGGAGTTGAGCATGGCGCGCTCAAGCGCATGGTGCTAAGTTGTGGTGAAGAGAGAATTAACAAGAAAACGGGGACTTGGAAGCCTATCCAGAAAAGGTAGGCACTTTACTTATTCATAGGCCAGTTGTAACGTACAACCCGGTTTCTATATTGGTGGCAGCCGGGTCGGATTTGTGCCACATTTGGGCAGAAAAGTTACGAATTTTTCTGCTGAGGAGTTTTTCAGCCACGGAGCTGAACTCCGCACTCAGGCACGCTACCCTACCATTTTAATGTTTATTGTTGTATAAATTGTATATGAGGAAACCCCAGCACGGTCTGGTGAGTGTTTTTAGAGTGTTTTTACAGTAGTTTCTTACAAGTTTTAAGGAGTTTTCTTGAATTTTCGGCAGCACGTGCGCCAAGGAAAAAACAAAATGGCGACGCACGCCAGGATTTTCATAAATTATGCAAATGTGAATGAGTTAATGCGGACTCCAGGTCTCACGGAAGACCAAGTGTTCAAAATAGCCGAATTGAGGGAGCAATTTGGAAATTTAAATGTGCAGCAAGTGGAAAGTGCTTTGTGCTGCAGACTGGCTCCTCGTACGCTGGATATGGTGGACTTTGAGCCGAATCAGCGCTTGGGTGTGGGCAGCACGGCTGTTTCACTCAGGGAAAGGAAGGTGCAGGAGACAGGAGGATCTGGAAACTGGCTATGGAGATTTTTCCGGTTTCTTTTAGGACTGTTCTTCGGATTTTCTGCTCAGGAGGAGAGCAACGCCTTCAATAGCGAAAGTGCGCCTCACGGAGGTGGCACGCGGCAGCTAGGAGGCTGTGAGGGTCAAGTGAGTGCACATCGTAACTCGGAGGCCACGGTGCCGAAGAGGTTATTCGAGGACAGTGGACTGGAGGGAGCGAATTCGCCTCAACTTGTCAAACGGAGCCCAGGTAAAAACGTAGTTAAGAATGTTAATAGTGGGGTTCAGCAGGGGGGTCCTTATGTTCCGTATACACCTAGCCCCATGGGGGGTGGGGTAGCATTAGGTCCCGGGAGTCAGGATAGGGCTGTTTACACCCCTGAATTGTTTACACCTAGTCCAGGGGGGGGCGTTGTAAGGGAGACTCCTATGTCCGGGGATGTCCGGGGGGAGGGGTATGCTATTGGCCCGGGGGGTGGTGGCAGCTATTCGGGTTACCCTGGGAATCATAGCCCTCCAATGGCACCTGGTGTCAGTCCCCCCGTCATGCACCCTGGGAATCACGGATTCTCAGTACTGCACCCTGGAAATCATAGCTCTCCAGCCATGCACCCTGGGAATCACGGATTCTCAGTACTGCACACTGGATATCACAGCTCTCCAGCCATGTACCCTGGGAATCACGGATTCTCAGTACAACACCCTGGAAGTCACAGCTCTCCAGACGTACACCCTGGGGATCACGGATCTCCAGTGGTGGGAAATGGATCGAATTCAGGGCACTTAGTGTATCATAGCACCCCAGTGGAGGGAGGTAGCCAGGACGAACACCCTGTATTCCAGGGCTCTCCTATATTGAAACGGGGCGCGGCCTCGAGGAGGACTGCACGGCTCACGGAGCTAGGGGCAGAACAAGACTCAATAGAGAGGAGGAAGGTCAATCCTCCTAAGAGCTTAACTTTTAACGGACACGGAAGTTGGGCTGCTTTTAAGTTGCTTTTCTTGCGACAGGCAGAGAGGGAGGATTGGGATCGCGACATGTCCCTGGATGCACTATGCCTCTGCCTGAAGGGTAAAGCCCTAGACTGTTGTGTGAACGTCACACGCAGGCTAGGTAAGCTCTCATATGAAGGTCTCATGGAGGAATTGGAGACCTGTTACGGAGAAACGGACACACCGGCTACGGTCCGGTCGCAGCTACATAACGCTACTCAAGGCGAGACAGAAACGGTGGATGAATGGGGAGTCAGGGTGCTACGTCTGACTTCTGAAGCGTATGCTCAGTTACCTAGGACATTCGTGGAGTCAGAGGCTGTAAGTCGGTTCTGCGCGGGCATGATTGATTCAGAGGCGGGTCAATCAATTTATATGCGACAGCCAGCCACCTTAAGGGAGGCGATGCAGCTGGCTAAGATGCGTAGGGAAATGCGAGTGACTATGGAGAATGCGGGAAAAAAATTGCGCCCGGGAGCCAAGCGAGCCAACCAAGTGACGCCTGCAGCAGAGGGTAACATTCCAGAGCTGGAACAGATGAGGGATACCATCAAGGAGATGGAGAAGGCGTTGAAAGATGTCCGCCAGGAGCTGAGTAGGAGGTCATCTACCGGTTACGGCCACGGAGCCGCACCCGGAAACCAGCGGAGCTGGGGACGGGGCAGCACTGGAAGCT